ACAAAACTCACTGGGATGACAAACAGCAACAGAAAGGACAAAAAGAAAGATTAAGAGGCCAGCAGATTAACCAGAGCTCCTGAGCTGCAAGCAGGCAGCAGCTAAGTCTGTAATTTGACCACAGCAACTCACAGCCATGACGAAAACACCCTGGAGATAGATGGAGTGGTGCCTGTGTGTGGAACAGGTGGGCTTGGGGCTCCCTGGCCCCTTCCCGAGCCTGGCTCCAGCTCCAGCAGCTGCCCAAAACACTGCCAGCATTTGTCAGAGCTCCACAGAGCCCAGGGATGAATGGACAGCGGGGGCTGAGGGCGACACGGTCGCTGGCAGCTGTCAGTCCAGAATGAGCAATGGGGTTTTTAAAACCCGGCAACTCTTTCCACAGGGACACCGGAGCCAGCTCTGCGTGGCAGAGGGAGGGATACGCCACGGGGAGACAATATTCCACGGGAACAAAGCCAGCAAGAAAGCAGCCCCGGCTGGGGGGGCACGGGGGGTCAGTGGAGCGTGGTGGGGGAGGCGCAGCCCCTCAGGGCCGTGTTTTGGGGCTGCCGGGCTCCCCCTCCTCGCCGCCCCTCGGGGCCGCGCCGGCAGCAACGGTGCATTACGGGATAAAACAGCGGAGCTGCTCGGCTCTGGCTCCACAGTCACGCTAGAATGAGATTAAAAGGAAAGGAGGACAAGAGCCACTGGAGCCCGGATGCCATTGGGCGCCTGCAGCAGAGTCCTCCCAGCGCCCGCATTCCCATAGTGGGACCTGAAACAACCAGAGCACAAAATACACGCTCCAAAACATCCACCAGCATGCGGCGGGAATTCACAGCGTGCCAGGCGGCCCCAGCCATGTCTGCAGAGCTCGGGGGGCAGCAGCACCCTTGTGTTCACAGGATCATTCAAGCCAACAGCCAATTCCCTGCTATTAAAGCTGGACAAAGCTTCCACGCTTTGCACGAATGTTTTGCCCCTGCAGGATTTTGTCACTTCAGCTCAGACCTCAAACACTTCTTCCCCAAGAGTTTAAGGAAAACATTCCATGAAATTACTTTCTGATTGCTTGCTCCGAAATCGGGAGAGGGAGTTTTTAAGTTTGGCTCTCTAGGACACAAACAGTGACCAGCAGTGGCAGGCTGGGGCAGGAAACCAGGAGGTGGGCACAGGACAGCAGGCGTGTGTCCCTGAGCAGCACAAAGGGTGTTGTTGGCAGAAAACACCTTTTCAGAAAGTGTAATAAATACATTAAAATTAAACTTGGTGGAAAGTTCAGGCGCTACAGGAAGAAGACAGTGAAAGTGTGGATTAGGAAAACATTTTGTTAAACAATAACAAAATTCTTATTCTTGCGGTGGCCAAAATGTACATTGTGACAAAGCTCCTGTAACTGAACACAATTAGGACCAAAAAAATGAGGTTTGGCTCCTCAGTGTTGACTGAACCCAAGTAACCAACTGATATATTTATTCCATGCTGCTGTTTGCAAGAAGCGACAACACCACTTGTCACTGGCAAGTAGCAAATATAATTTTTAATACTCTTTCCCATAACCTTGGTGTCCCTTTGCTGGTGAGGAGGATATCACCCTGGGTGTCACTCATTTCTAAGTAACTCCAGCTGCTGCCTCCCTCAGTTAAACCCTTTGCACCTCCACGTAGCTTTGGGTGGGCTAAAATTAAAACACCTTTGCTTTGGTTTCCTTTCAAAAGGATTTTATTTGGGATGGGGAGGCTTGAACAAACACAGCCCTGCAGTTTTAGTTGTGCTGCCGTGTTCAGAGCCCACAAACCCACAGGGCACCATCCCCTGGCTGCAGGAGGGGAGATGGTGACACTGCTCACACTAAACAAACAACTACCCACCGGGACAGGGACACCAGGGCTGGGACAGGGACATCAGGATAGGGGCACTGGGACTGGGACACTGGGGCTGGGAGAGGGGCATCAGGACAGGGACACCAGGACACTGGGGCTGGGACGGGAGCACCGGGACAAGGGTACCAGGGCTGGGACAGGACACGGGCACCATGTCCGGACAGAGGCACTGGGACTGGGACAGGGGCACTGTGGCCTGCACAGGGTCACCAGGACAGGGTCACCGGGACCTGGACAGGGTCACCAGGGCAGGGGCACCGGGACAGGGTCACTGGGGCTGGGACAGGAGCACCGGGACGGGGCACCGGGAGCGCTCCCAGCGAGCAGGATCCGTTCCCCGTGCTCTTCCCGGCAGGAACCCCGACACAGGGCCCGGGGGCTCCCCGGGGGGCACCAGCCCGCAGCCCCCTGGGGCTGAGCCTCTCCGAGCCCCGCCCGGGCCCTGCCGCCCCTCCAGGCCCAGCCCGGACCCTCCCCGGTGCAGCCCAGGCCGCCTCACAGCGCCGCGGGCCCGGCCCGAGGCCCGTCCGCGGCCTGCCCGGTGCCCGGTGCCCGCTCCCGGCCGTACCTGCATGGAGTCGGCGCTGACGATCTCCCCGCCGAGGCGCAGCCCGAGCTGCAGCGCCAGCGCCGACTTCCCGGTGCCGGTGGCTCCCAGGATCACCACGAGCGGCCGCGGCGGCCGCGGGGCCCGGCCCAGGCACAGCGCGGCCGCGGTCGCCATGGCCCGGCCGGCGACGGGCGGGCGGGACGGGGGCGGGACGGGGCCGGGGCCGCCCGCGGGGAGGACGGGGCCGGGCCCCGAGCACCGTGTGCCCCTGCCCGCCGGCGTTCCGGAGCCCAGCGCGGTCCCTCCCCGTGCCCCCGGGGCTCTCCACGTGCCCCGAGCCCGCCTCCCGTGACCCCGGGGCTCTCCACGTGTCCTGGGTCCCCAGTGCCAGCCCGGTCCTTTCCCGTGTCCCCCGGTTTCGCCCCGGGTCCCCAGACACAGCCCGGTCCTTCCCCGTGTCTCCCGGTCTCTCCCCGTGCCCCTGGGTCCCCAGAGCCAGCCCGGTTGCCCTTCCTGCATCCCGGGTCGCCAAACCCATCCCCACGCCCCTGCCTCCTTTTGGGGGCCTTTGCTCCCCTCTTCCCTCCCAAAATCCCTCTGGGCCCTTCACACCCGTGTCCACGCGTGGGGCTCAGCCCCGCGGTCCCTTTTTTTTACAGGGAGTATAATGGGGTGGGAAGGATGCTGTTGCCGCGGCAACGGTGCGGGAGGATGAGGAGAGGGGGCTGTTGCCATAGCAACGGGGCAGAGTAGGATGATGCGGGGCTGTTACCATAGCGAGGGAGAAGAGCACATTGCCGTGGCAACTGCAGGCTCCGCGGAGGCTCATCCTCCCCATCGCCACGGCAACTGGAGGGGATGGGGAGCGGGCGGCTGTCTCCGTGGCAACAGAGGGGAGAGAAATGGGGAGGCGGTTGCCATGGCACCTCCCTGGTGCCGCTTTCCCCGGCAACACACATCCCTCGCCATGGCAACAGCGAGAGGGAGGCTGCGGGCCGGGGAGGGAGGGGGGGTGCGGGCAGCCAGCCCCCCTCGGCAGGGAAGGGATTATCGCCGCCTCGGGAAACTGTCCTAAAAATTTGCCAGCCCAGGCGTGAAGGCGGCATCGTGCCCACGACACCCCCGGGCCGGCGCTGATGTGATGGGCGAGCAGAGGTGGTTTGGGGGGTACAGCAAGGAGCAGGGTGTGAGCAGGGCAGTGTGTGATAAAAAATAACTAGTTCAGGCCTGGAAATGCCGAACTGTGGTGATTATAGCTGGCACTCACAAACTGCAGTGCTGAACAAGCAAGGGGGAAAGCCCTGTGTGTTTATTTTGTTCACTTCACAGCACTGTCAGTCTCCTTTCCTCATCCTGACTGGTGATACGAGAGGAGACACATGCACCAGTAACCAGGGAAGTTTCAGGTAGATGTATACTTGTGTATGCAGCTTTAAGCAGGAGAACTCAAAGGTACATGCAAAACTGGAGCTGTTCCTTATTTCACCCCCGACCAACTACATTTCCCACTGGTAACAGTCTCAGCTCAGACCGTGGATTTGCTCATCACTTCCAAGAAAGATAATTAATGTTTCAAGCCTCTGATGTGCCTTCAGCACGAAATCAAAAAGCCCAACTTACTAAAAAGCTCCTCGGGAGGGTCACCTTGAGCTGAAAAAAGACACCAGGCTGCAAGTGTGAGTGTACACACAACAAAAATAACCGTTTGAGGGGCTGGTACATCTGGGCTTTGTTTCCTGCGCATGGGCGAGGTGTCAGATTTAGGTCACCCTGCTCCCTGGTTAAGCTGTGGGTCACGAGAGCACCTTTTAATGCAGCTCTGAACGGCTGTGACACGGTGTGATGCAACACACAGAGTGCGAAATGCTGCTGGAACCAAAGGGGATGGGTGTTTTAAGTGCTTCTGGGTGGAATCATTGCTGTTTAAGGCTGGTTTCCCCAGGTGATCGAATCTCCAGCAGCAGCTCCTCTCTCCTGACTCCTCAGCAGTAACAGGATCCCATGTCCCTCCTGCATTTAGAGTAAGACTTTTGCTGCCAGGACAAAGGAAACCCAAATGGATTGAGTTTGGGGGCAGCATGGAGAACACACATATATATAATTTCATCCACTTGGCAGATCTGGGATAGGGAGTTCTCCAATGCCCCTGGAAGCGAGGGGATTGCATTCCCCCCTCCCTATAGGGTTACTGCCAGCCACAGCCCCTGACCTGTGGGGCAGTGATCACCCCACACTGCCTGCCCCAAGCCCCATTAGGGGGGTTTATAGTTACACCAGAGCCTCCTCTGAGCCCAGTGTGGGCTCTCTCTGCCCCTCCTTGCCAATAAAACCACTTAAAAAAAGGAAAAATAATCCAGGTGATTCATTTCCCTGGCCCCACCACCACGAACACTTCTTCAATTGCTGGGAGAAAACCAGGACAAAGAGCTCAGTCTTGGCGCAGCCAAGCCCTGGTGCAAAATATATTAACTCCCATTCATGTCCAGGATACCCCAAAACACAGGGGCCAGGTCAGCCCCCCCAAGGAGCCTCGTGATGTGATGCATGGAAACCCACAGCCGACTGCATGGAAAAAGCCAACCCAGGCTGTTGCAAACTTATTTATTTATGAAGTGTGAGGTAATGAAGAAAGTGCTAAATCCGACCACAGTGTTAACTCTAACAGTTCTCAGCAGGTCAGTGGGGGCCCGAGGGTGCTGTCCTGCAGGACCACCCCAGCCAGCACCCCTGGGAGGGGACAGGGGACTCTGCCACCCACATACCCCACCGCAGGTTGGGCAGCAGGAGGGCACAGGCAGGGGGAAGCCTCGAAGGCAGAGCAGCCCCACACACATGCACAACCTGCCCCCTGCAAAGCCCAAAGCTTCGCTGGGGATTTTAAGTGGCTGCTGGTGAGAGGGTACTCACAAGGGTGGGAAAAGGGGTCACAAGGATACTCACAAGGAGAGGAAAGGGATAAAAATCCCCTGTTATTGCAAATGGGTGGTTTGGAGAGCTGCAAGGGGGTAAATGGCCTCCGCGAGGACTCAGCTCGAGGGTCCAGCAGGAGCCAGCCCCTTCCTGATCTCCCTAAAGTGCAGCAGGACTGAGCCCTCCCCCGCAGCAGGAAACCCCCCCCTTAAAAAAAAAGTTTTTATATATATATAAAAAAAGCAAACTCTTTACCAATACTTCTCAAAAAGTGGTACAAAAATACAGTATAAAAACACAGCCTCCAGTATAAGACTCGCAGTTACAGCAGCAGTTTCTAGAACATAAAATCCAAGACAAGCTACTGCGTGAAGTGATAAGGAAGTGAGGTACGGTCCAGCCGAGCAAGGGGATCGCCCACGGGGTGCTGCTCACCCTGGTGAGAGACACATCCTGCCCTCACCATCTCCATGGGATCCGTCCAGAGACGAGGCCCGTGCTGGGCTTCCACGAGCCAAGGCAGACCGTGGTTGCTTGGATTTTTAGGGCGAGATGGATGCCCAGGGGCAGCTCCCGGCAATGCTGTCGGTGGAAAATGGCAGAGAGGGGTGCAGGGGCTGCTGAGGAGGGGGAATAGAGTTGAGCTCTTGAATCGAAGTAGTCACTTGACAAAGCTTCACAGCAGGGACAGGGGAAATCTTGCAACACTTGGTGCCGAGAAAACAGCCCCAGGCAGGTGATGCCATGGGAGGGTCTCCACCTCGGCCCCATTCCCTCACCCGGGAGCAGCACCACGGCCACCCCACATGCAGCAACCGCCACGTGCTCCAGCCCCCCGGGGCCAACAGTTCAACAAACAACCAAAAAATAAAAAAAAAAAAATGTGCAAATTGAGAGGGAGCCAGGGGGGTTGTGGGGACTGGGGCGGGGGGGTACCCTGGGTGCTAGTGCCCCTTGAGGTGAGCAATCCGTTTGAGCAGCTGGGTCTGGCGCTGCTGCAGCTGCCGCTTCTCGGCTGCCATCCGCCTCTCGGCGCTGATGAGCGACTGCAGGTACTCGGAGGATTTGCTCAGGATCACCACCTTGGGCGTCTTGGGGCAGCTGGCGAGCCCGGGCACCTGGTCCCGCAGGGCCAGGAACCGCGAGCGCAGGTCGTTGCGCCGCTTGCGCTCCAGGTAGTTGTGGTTTTTCCTCTTGGCCACGTCCTCGCTGTCAGAGCCAGGGCTGCTGCTGAGCTTTGGCAAGCCGGGCTCAGGAGGTGTGATGGCAGGGACCGGCTCTGCGGCGCTCGGTGGCTCGTCCTCGTCCCCGTCCTGGTCCTGCTGGGGTGACTCCGGTGGGGGACAGGAGTCTGGGGGCGAGCGGGCGGCGTAGTTGTGCTGCTGCTGGTGGACGGAGATGTGGAAGCGTTTCATGCAGGGGTCCAGGGGGTCTGCACGCAGGGTGATGGTCACCGGCTTCCTCAGGCTGAGTGATTGCCTCTTGTCCACCGTCACCACATCGATCTCTTCTCCTTCTGCTCAAAACAGACATGGCAAAGAAAGAACAAATCCTCGTCAGCTGGGAAGCACCAGTCACCCCTTTGTGGGAGCCCCCAGAGCCCCCCCGGACAATCTCCCTGCTGCTGTCCCACTGAAGTTTGCTCACGCGCTGCAAAGTCACTCTGCAACCTCCTGAAGGGACTATGTGATTTAAATGCTCTTCCAAGTGCTCTTCCAATACCATCACATGGAGAGGAGTAGAATTCCCTCCACATTCCTGTGCCTGGTCCCCCAAAATGGGACGGGGCTTTATTTCTGCCTCACTTCAGCACCAGGAGCAACATGTGTTCATGTAAAGGATCATCAGGCAAGAAACACTCCAAGCCCCCCTGCTTGGGAGGGACTGGAGGAGCAAGATGCTGGGACAGCCTAGCTCCAAAGTTCATCCCGGTCGGGTGCTTTCATGGCCCATTGGAATTGTAAATGAGGGATGTGGGGGCAGAGCTGCCCTTTGTTCCCCTCGGCAGCAGCTTCCCACCTCGGTGACTTGTTACTTTTCACAAGTGATAAAGCCCATTCAACCCCGGCTTCCCGGGGACAGAGGGGACAATCCCCCACTGTGCAGGGGGGGAGGGAGAGGTGAAGGGGTCCCTCCAACAGACCCTGAACCGCGAAGGCATCCCAAGCCCGGGAACAGAAAGACCTAAATAAAGCATAACTGACCCCAAAGCACCCTGCCTGTTGTCACTGCAGCTTGTCCTATGCCAGCAAAGCCCAGTGGCAGGAAGCTGGCCCTGGGGACAGCGAGGTGACCGGGCTGCAGACACACTTGTGACCACTCTCACTTTAGAGATGCGCCTCCAACTTTTTTCCTAGGCTTTGGGGGGAAAATACAGCCACTCACTAAAGGTCCCCGGAACCACCCAAATCCCCACCAGCATTGTGGGCAGAGGCCTGGTCCTCCAGGGCACATTCCTGCTTGTGGCCCCCAACCCACACCGCAGCCCCCCCAGGCTTCGGGGACTCTGCTACTGGAGACACCGGGGTGGGGGGCCACTCGCTGCCCCCACACAGGCCGAGGGCCGCACTCATCGGTGTCACAACCCGCCCGTTCTCAGCCACGTGGGCACACACGGAGCCCCCCCCGCTCATTAATAAAAGTCGGGCCGCGGGGCCCCGCCCCTCGAAGCCGCCCATTGGCTGCACGGCGGGACAGACCGGCCGTCCCGCCACCCCATTGGCCGCTGCTCCTGTCCATCACCGCGCCCGCTCTCATTGTTTGCAATCTGTTGCTTTTTGTTCGGCGCCCACGTGGCGCGGCCGGACCCCACCGGGACCCCCGCGGCACCGGGACCCCGCCGGGACCCCCGCGGGGCCCCCGCTCGGCCCCACATATTTGGGTTAAGCCTCTTAACGCCCTCGACCTGCTTACAGTGCCCGGGCTCCTTAATGGCATTAAGCGCCCTTCCCGCGCCGTGACTCACCGGCGCAGGTGGCGGCCACGGGCAGATTTATTAACGGGGTCACGGCACCGCGTCGGCCGAGTCAGCCCGGCTTCCGTGGGAGCGAGGGAAACAGCGCACGGCCCCCGCGGGGGGTGCGGGACGGGGGAGGGGGGGGGGGGTGTTGGAGAGCCCCGGGGGATGTTTGTAAATAAGGATTGAAAATTGGTGCGAGACGGGGGAGATGCGGGGGGAGGGTGGAGCCACGTCGCCCTTGGCTGGTGGGTTTCGGAGGCATCCGCTTCCCAGGCCGAGCCCCCGTGTGAACACCCCCACGCGGGACAGGCAGACGTGCCCCGGGGCTGGGCTGGGACGCGCCACGGCTGATGCGGCTGCTCCTGCCCGTCCCACGGAGCCACCGCCTCGGGGGACACGCCGCTGCTCCCAAACCTGCTGCCCCCAGGGCATAATTTGCCTTTTGTCCCGAGGGAAGCCCGTCCCGGGTGGGCCGTGGGAGCGTAGGAGGAATCAGCCGAAGTTACGAGCCGGCAGCAGGGCACGCTGCGACGCTCGAAAAACCAAAACTTCCCACGGCGAGCTGCAAACTTGCCCTTCAACCTGCCCACGAGGCTCCCGAGACGAGGGAGACGGGCCACCAGAGCCCCACGCACCCTCCCGAGAGGGGCAGGGGTTTCCCGAGCAGAAGCCCCGCGGGAAGGGGAGAAGCCGAGCCCGCTTTGTTCGTGGGGCCGGGACCGGGGCTCGCTTGGAGCCTCAACAAAGGCGCAGCCCGGCTGGGAGGCTGCCGGCACACACATGTGTGGACACGCGTGTCTTCCACGCCGGGCTCCAGCAAGGCTGGAGCGTGGCTGGGCCGGGGCAGCCCGCACCCCGGCGGCGGAGCAGCTCCATCCCTTACCGGAGTCGCTTTGGCCCTCGGATCCCGAGGATGCGGGGATCTTGCTCTCGGCCAGCGGGCAAAGGAAGACGGCAGCGGGATCCACGCACTCGCTCACGGAGCTGCTGAACCCAAAATCCTGCGCGAAGGAGGGTTTGAGCGGGGTGGCTCTCTGCGTGCCCGTAGAAAGTTTCTCTGTCATCGCCTTCTCCAGTCTCTCCCGGGCTGAAAATCCGCTCCACATGCAATCCTTGAGGATGAAAGCGCTCAGGTTCCCGAAGATCTGTCCGGTCCCTATGAGATACTCCGGCTCTTCACCGGCGAGGCAATACCGGGAGAGCCATCCCGAGCGCTCCTCCGCCCCCGAGCAGCACCCCTTCTCCCCGGGGGTACCTAGCGGGGACAGAGGGGGCGTGGGGACCAGCTCGAACTTCTTCCAGATGTCCTCGCTGGGTGCCGTGGAGCGATGAAAATCCTCCTGGGCATCGTGGTCGTAGAAGTAATGCTGGTACGAGTCAAACTCCATCTCGGCATGGGGAAGGGGAAGACAGAGAGAAAAACGGGGGGCAGCCCCGCTCAGGAAAGGGGCAGCCCCAGGGATGAGGGGGAGCCCCCACCCCGGCGCCAGCCCCCGAGCCGGGACCGCGGGCGCATTGTTCCCCCCGCTCTTATAGCCCGGCCGCGGAGCCCAGCCCCGCCCCCGCCAATCGCCGGGCCTGCCTTTCATAGAGGGAGGGGCCCTGCCCTGTTCTCCGCCCTCCCGGGAGGGCACGGTGGGAGCGATCCCGCGGCCCCCCCGGAGCCCCCGGTAACGGGGCTCTGAACCAGCGGTCACCCCTTGCGCTGCGCTGGGGGCCCCTCGCTGTCCTACCAGGGCTTGGGGGTCCCCCTCTCTGCAAGGAGAGGCGCGCAGCGATGCCACCAGCCTGGGGACATTCGGCTGAGCGTGATGGCAAAGCAAACTGGAGCACCACGGAATTATGGAATCACAGAGTGGTTTGGGTTGGGAGGGACCTTAAAGCTCTTCTCGTTCCACCCCCTGCCATAGGCAGGGACGCCTTCCACTAGCCCAGGTGGCTCCAAGCGCTGTCCAACCTGGCCTTGGACACTTCCAGGGATCCAGGGGCAGCCACAGCTTCTCTGGGCAGCCTGTGCCAGGGCCTCCCCACCCTCCCAGGGAGGAATTTCTCCCCAACATCCAATATAAGATGGTGGGATCCGAGCAAGCCCGCTAGGATGCTGCATCTCTCCACTGCCAAGGTCCTTCTAGGAAGGGCAATGAATGTTTTGAGGACACGGAGAGACTTTCACCTCGTGCGCTAACAGCTGTGGCATCATCACACACACACACACGCACTGGTACAAAGTCCACCTGGAACGAGCAGATTGCCCCCACAGCCTGTGTGAACCCACTTCAGACCCAGCACCCTCCTTTTGCCACCCAGTGTGGATGGGGCCACAGGATCTGCCCCGGGAGATCCTGGGAGGAGGCAGGGTGGGCACTGGTCCCTGGGATGGAGGGGGGTGCTGGGCACTGGTCCCTGGGATGCAGCACTGGCCGTGCTGGGAGGAAATTGTCCCAGTCCAGCCACCAGTATAGCCCAGCACAGCCGAGTGCTGCCCAGCACTGCACAGCCCTTTATGGTCCTCCATGCACCAGTACAACCCAGTGCAGCCCAGCCCTGCACGGCCCTTCCTGGACCAGCACAGCCCAGTACAGCCCAGTGCAGTCAGCCCAGTGTAGCCCAGCATAGACCAGCACTGTCCAGTACAGGCCAGTACAGTCCAGAGCAGCGTAGCCCAGCATGGATCAGCACAGACAAGCCCAGCCCAGCCCCGCACGAACCAGCGCTGCCCAGCGCGGTCCATCACAGCTCCCCCCGTTTCCCCCCGTTTCCCCCCCGTCCCTCTCGGTCCCGGGCTCCGTTCGCCGCCACCGGCGGGCGCGGGGCGCCACCTGCTGGGCCCGCGAACCACCGTCCGTGGGGCGGCGGGGACGGGGACGTGGCGGGGACACCCCACCGGGCACCCCGACCCGCGCGGAGGGGAGCGCGGGGGAGCGGAGCTGCTCCGTGCCTCGATTTCCCCGTTACCGAGGCGGGCACGGGGGGAGGCAGAGGAGCAGCGCCGGGAGCGGGCGCTGGGCTGGCGGCGGGTCCGGATCCCCACGCGGGTGGGGTGCCCCGGGGGAGCCCGGCGTGCCCCGGTGTGCCCAAGGGCAGCTCCAGCCCTTCCCTTGCTGGCTCGGGGCGCAGCGGAGCTTGCGAAGCTTTGCCAGCTCCCGCATCTGGGAGGGTGCTGGTGCTCGCCCGGGGCTGTGGTTTCCCAGCTGTGACAGTGCCGTGAGGTCCCTACGATGGCCGCAGCACCCTGCGTGCCCTCCTGGCCCTTCCAGAACAGCCCTGAGCATCCCAATCCTGCCCGCATGCTTTGGGGCTAGGGCAGGAGCTGCGGGATCCAGGGATCCCCTTGGAGCCCGGGCTGATGCTCCCTCTGTGCTCCCGTCTCAGCATTGGCCCCAGTTCCCAGCCCTGTCCCGGGCCAGAATCCTCCCACCCTAGGGCTGCTCCCAGTCCTTTTCCCTCCCCGGGAAGGCGTCGTTGGTGATGCCCCCTCTTCCTCAGTAGGAAACAAGTCACCCTGCACCGAGGGCAGAGACTGAGCTGCCACAGAGGCTTGTCCTGTCCCAGCACCTGCAGGGACAAGTGGTCATGGCTGGGGACACGGCTGGCACTGCCCCAAACCGCCTTTTCCATCCAACACCAACACATCCTCGGGCACAGAAGCAAAGCCTCCTACAGCCTATAGCTCTCAGCCACGTCTCCTTCCCCCTCCCTGCTGGCCTCCGGGATGTCTCCGGCTTTTCCCAGGGTGAGGCAGGTGCTTGTCCCGGCTTCAAGGGGCTTCGGATGCTTTGAAGGTGCGGAAGCACCGCTGGAGAGGGCTGGAGGGGCCACGCAGCCCTTTCATCCCGGCCTCTCCAGGCACCGGGCAAACAGGAGCTGAGAGCCTCTCGCTGCGGCGCCGGCTGCGCAAACAGGGTGGGTGGGTGGGTGGATGGGTGAGAGCCCCGGGGGCTGCGGCACCGCAGGTGACAGGGATGGAGGGGCCGCCCACGGGACAGGATAACTCTCGCAGTGCCCCGCAGTGGCAGGGCACTGGCACAGCTCCACAGCCGGCACTGAGCACGTGTCCCCGGCACTGGCACAGCCCCACGGGAGCTGCCGTGGCTGGCGCGGCTCCAGCACATGATGAAAGGCAGTTCCCCGGGGGCCCCGTGCCCTTTGGATCCCCACTGACAGCAGGGCTGGACTTTGAGACCCCAAAGTGCTTCCCCACGGTGGGCAGCCACCCTGAGCCTGGCCCAGGGGCATCCTGAGCTGGGCTCTGCCTCTGGCTGTCCCCGTCCTGCTGCAGCAGCAGCCTTCGGGCTACCCTGCTGTCCCCGTGGGGGTCCCAGATCCCCAGAGACAGCAGAGGCTGTGAGCCACGTGCCAGCACATCCTGGCCCTGCCTCATCCCGCTCAGCCTTGTGACTTGCTCCCCAGGGTCCCACGCAGGAGAGGGGTGGGCAGCACAGGGCAGCTGCCATGTGCTGCCATGCAACGTGTCCCCTTTGTCCCCGTGAAGCTGCTGGGCAGCAGCCACGGGGACTGGCTGGGCGCTTGTGAAATGCCAACCCGAGCCCCTCTGGGGTATGGGAGCACCATGAAATTCTTCCCAGCCCGGGTGGGGGACAGTGCCCACAGCCCCAGGGTCGTGCCAGCCCCAGCTCCCTGAGCATGCAGCCACCCACTCTGAGTTTAGCAGGCGTTGAAGTGCAGAGAAGGGAGAGGAAATTGCACCACTGGCTCCAGTCTTGCTGCCTCCTTCCCCCTTCCAGAACCATTTTGCCCCCGTCACACCCTGCCTGGTGCCAGGAGGTGCCCTGAGCCCCAGAGAAGCTCTGTGACGTTGGGGCAGTGCTCTCTCAGTGCTGGGGAGCCACACTGAGGCACACACTGTGTCACCCCGGGAGCTCCGTGACCATCTCACTGCCATTTGCCCCCAAGCCCATCCTCCCCATCCTGGCTGGCCCAGCCTGGCAGGGCTGTCTGGTTTCGGGTGCTCTCACACTTGCTCAGATCCTGCTCCAGGCTGTGCCGGATGCATGACAGCAGGAGGTGTGGGTGGCAGGGGATGGCATCATGCACTGGAGCAGCAGTCCCCATCCCTATTCCTGTCCCCAAGGCCAGTATTTGGGGCTCAGCCCATGAAGGGTCCCCAGTGGTGTCCCCAGCTGAGGGATGTGGCACATTGTCACCATCAAAGGGTATTTGAGCTCAGGTTGTGCCTGCCAGACCATCACACTGACAAAGGTGACCTTGTGAGTGGCCCAGCCCCAACCACCTCTACCTTGGGGACCCCAAACTGGGTGGGAGCTGCTGCACTGACACCCCCACAGGGATCAGCCCTTGGCAGTCCCTTTACTGCTGTGAGGATCCCCCAGAGCATCTGCTTGGGAGGAGGGTCTCAAATCCCCCAGAGGAAATTGTGCAATACCAGATTTGGGGGAGAAAATCCTCCTAATCCTGGGAAATCCTGGTCTGTCTACTTCTCCTCTTCATATGTAAGGCTGAGCTCACCTATCTGTGATCTTTCTGCACAATCTCCTTCTCAAAGGCCATCTCTTTGTTCCCCTAAAGCAGAGTTTGCCCAGGAGGTGGTTTTTGAGTGCTTTACTCAAGGACAGGAATGCCAAAAGCATTCCCAGGAGCTGAGGAGCCCCTGGGACAAAGGGAGCAGAGTAATAGTGCTGGGGTCACACACAGAGGGGAGTCTGGTCCCTCCAGATCAAGTGTTAATCAAGTGTCCCCTCTGCTCCTTCAAAGGAGGTTTTCTCTGTGGAAAGGGAAACTGAGGCGCAGAGCAGACTCAAACACACCTCCCCTGGTTACCTGTCTTTGAGAAGCAGAGAGCTTTGGGGAACCCAAATGTGTTTTGGGGGTGGTGCAGGACTTTCTCAGGCAGGGACACAAACCCACATGGATGTCCCTGAAAGCATCACAATGAAGGTGTCCCTGCCCAGGCAGGGGGTTGGAACGAGATGGTCTTTAAGGTCCCTTGCAACCCAACCCAGTCTGTGTTTCTGTGTCCCCAGTGGCTGCACCAGTGCTGCCCAGGGACATGGTCATTGCCAGCAAGAAGGTGACCAGGGCCCTCTGCTCCACACCAGCACCCAGAGCCAGCACAGCACAGCAGGGCGAGGAGCCGGGGGCAGATCTCTCTCACATGACTGGATGAGTGGCATTGTCCACACCTCACTCGCCTCTTGTTTCAGGTATTTTGCGTCACTGAACAAATTTGGACACTCTGAAGCCTCACCCAGCTCCCTGTCCCCAGTGGGTAGCAGCTCTGAGCTCCCAGCGTGGCCAGACGTGGGGCTGTGACGCACAGCAGCGCTGGGGGAACCCACTGCACGTGTGTGAGGGGCCGGAAACTGTGAGTCAGCAGTGACACCAGCTCAGTGCTGAAACCAGGGAGTGTACGGAGCTGCTGTGCCACTCACTGCTCCATGCCAGGGGCTGCCCACCCCGCTCATCCCCAGCACCCACTCAGGTTCTGCTGCATCCCAGGTCCCTGCTGGGTGCCAGCT